ATTGTTCTTTTGAGTTCCATGTCCTGCATTATCTCTAGGGGGTTCTCATTGTACTCCTCTAGAGGACTATTGATATTTGCTGGGGATATGTTATTTTGGTTTTTCATGTTATTTTGTCTGTGATTTTGACATGTGAATTTCTTTTGTAGTTTCTGATTCTTGTGTGAGACTCAAGCCTTCAGGTTTAGGTCTGCTTCTTTTTGTGAACTTTATGTGTTTTTGTGGTTTACTTTTTGGGCATGAAAAGCTGGTTCCTCTAAGCTTCTGGTTCTCTCTTTTGATTTTATACTGGAGTGGCCAGATTGCTTTTGTCTTCAGGAGTTCCCACAGAGGCCCAAGTCAGATGAGGATCAGATGCTCTCAGGCTTTCTCCTAAGGTCTGGATCCCTCCAGGAAAGATGTTGTCCTCAGGAATTTGGGAGTTGGACTGGCCTGGGAGCAGGGCCCAGGATAGAAACTGGTCTCAGAGAGCTGGTGGCCGTGTCACCCAGAGATGCAAAGGGAGATGGGAGCAGGAACAGGCCCCAAGGGCTCCTGGGGACTGCAGGGAGGAACTGGGTTGGTTTGGATGCAAAGGATCAGGAAGCCAAGAAGTCAGCCCTGGCATCAGGAAAGAGGTTGGTGGGTTGTGCAGCCCAGGGAAGCAGAGGAGGGTGAGGGTGGGACCAGGCCCAGAGGGCTCCTGGGGACCGGGTTGGTCTGGATGCAAATGATCAGGAAGCAGTGGTGGTTCCCCCGGTGTCTGGGGTGCCAAGACAAGGAATGGGACAGTACCCAGGCTTGAGGGGGGGCGGTGAATGAGGCTGGGGGAGTCAAGGCGTGGAGGGCATGCTGGACTTACCCAGGAGAGAGACCAGTGAGTTGTGCAGGCCCAGGGAAGAAGAGGGAACTCTTCATATAATCTTGTAGTATAATGAACAGTGATTGAGTAGACCAGTGGCTATTAATTTATCCAGAAATTAATTCTTAATTTGCTTTGAAGAAACATGAGTTTTACCCTTTCTCCCCACACATACAGGACGAATCAATTTGAGCATGTATATGATGTCTTAGATTATTTTACTCCCACTTCTATCAAAATAACACAGAAGTTTTCCTGGGCTCTGATTCTAGCATTGCATATGTCCTTGGGGGACTGCATAGAGTGGCTTGGGAAAGCAATGGCTGAAATCGGACCAAACCACTCACAGAAGAATGAAGATTGCCATATCTTTGATATCAGGCAAGCCAACGCCATCATTGATTACTTAAAAATCAGGTATGGATGTGTTTTACACATTTATCTTTGAAGTCTTTTAGAAAACTCCTGTTAAAAGTAATTCAGTTTTAGCCGAGCATGGTGGCGCATGCCTTTTATCCCAGCACTTGGGAGGCAGAGTCAGGCAGATCTCTGTGAGTTCAAGGCCAGCCTGGTCTACATAGTGAGTTCTAGGACAGCTGGGGCTACAGGGAGACCCTGTCACAAAAAGACCAAAAAAAAAATAATAATAATTCAGTGTTTAGTTAATTCAGATGGTTACAGAATTTGTGCAATAATTAACCAAGATGTGAATAGTGCACAGCCATCAAGAAGGCTCCGCAAGTAAACGTGCCTGTGGACAGTTGTGAGGACCTGAGTTCTGTCCCTGGGCCCCACGGGGTGGAAGAAGAGAAACAACTGCAGATTGTCATCTGACCTTCTCTCTCTCTCTCTCTCTCTCTCTCTCTCTCTCACTCTCTCTCACACACACACACACACACACACACACAATAAAGTTTTAAATTTGATAATACTCAACTTTTCCATCTAACAAAAATAAAAGTCACAACTTGACCATTTCGGCCACATGCATTCCTAAAGAGGATTCCTAAGTGACAGATGTGATTCCATCCCACACTGTAATGCATCCCCTGGGAGTTTCTTTCTTTCCTGAGCCTGTGACATTTAATACCATTTTATTAATTGGATATAGTTATAATAGGTTCTATATTTTAGGTAGATAGGCTTTCCAAAGACCCACATTTACATTTTAAAGACCAACATTCATTTCCACTTAAATGTTGATTTTACATGATATTTATTTGAAACCGAAGTAATTTAAGCCCTGCTGGTACAGGCTTGGAATCCCAGCTACAGGAGGCTGAGGTATCACAGAGAGAATTCAGGGTCAGCCTATGCGACTCAGTGAGCCCCTGTCTCAAAAGTATTTGAAAAGAAGGTTAGGGAGGGTAGCTCACTGGTAGGGTGTTTGCCCCATGTGCATGAGGCTATCAGTTCAATCAATACAGGGGGGAAAACGAAGAGACATCTGTACTTCATAAAGATTAGGACATGCCCTAAGGTATTTGAACTAATGGCCCGTTTTAAGTCATCATTAAGTCTCTCTACCTAGAAAATGATGGTGGATGAAAGGGGAAATATTTTTTAAAATATTTTATTTATTACTTTTTATTTTATGTGTATGAATGTACTGCAGGCATGTATGTAAGTGCACCTATGTCATGCAGTGCCCACGGAAGTCAGAAGGACGTTTTGGAGGGGAAATATTTTTATATCGCAGTGATTCCTTGTTGATGAACCAACAGACCTGTCTCTTGTTTGGGGAGAGGGTGTGTGCACGTGTAGTGTTGTGAATGTGTGCATGCATGTTTGCTCGTGGGGCTGTGCGGGTGCTCATGTCCATGTGTGGTACTTGCGTGTGGAAGCACAGAGTTACCCTCAAGTATTCCTTGGTTGATCTGCACTGTATGTGTTGATGCAGATTCTCTCACGTGAACCCAGAGCCCACTGACTGAACTTCTAGCTCGCCAGCTTAGCCCCGGAGTCCTTATCACTGCCTCCTGGCACTGGGCTAAGAGGCCACCGTGCCCACCCAGCGTTTGCACAGGGTTGGGGACCTGCACTGAAGCCGTCATGCTTGTGCAGCAAGCGCTTTATCTGCAAAGCTGTCCTCCAGCGTGGAATCTTTATAGAGTCTATAGCAAAGTGTGAGTGAGAATCACACAGCTCTCCAAGGCATATCTTTGGATTTTACAAATATTCAAACAAGTGGATAAAAATCTTCCTCCTAACTGAAGTCACCTACTAAAGGTTTCTGCACAGAATCTTTCTCCTCTTCTGCCGTATATGCCAGTGTTTCCCAACACTAGAAATTAGCATTCCACAATACAGAGTGCCAACTGATGGCCTAGACAAGCTCTTGATTTGCTTGGCAAGGATCCTGGTTATCTTTTGGTAGCTTTGTAAATATTAGTCTGTTTAATATGATCAAGATTATATAATGGTTTCTGGCATGGCTTAATAATGGCATGTGACACAGTATTTTTATATAGTAGCATTTAACATGATGTGATTTTAATAAAAAGCATATCTCTTAATGAGTGCATTTCACTGAAAGCCACGATAGTTTTCACATCACGTGGAGTAAGACAAGTTTCTCACGTGGGAAGAAGGTGGGGCCAGAAGTGGGAAAATGATGAAAACCTGTACCTCAAGATGACAAGATGGCTCAGTGGTTAAAGCACTTACCGAGTAAGCCTGAAGACCTGAGCTCAGATCCCCAGAACCTCCCTAAATCGAGCTATGTCTGTGACTCAGGACCTTTAGGGAGAGACAGGAGGTGGTGACAGGAATCCCTGAAGCTCCTGGACCAGCTGCGCTGGCCTGTGCAGCACTGACCAACAAGCGAGACCTGCCCCAAAGTGAGTGACGGCAAGGACTTAGAACTAAGATTGTCTTCTGAGCGCCACCACATACTGTGGCCTGCATGCACCTGTACTAACACACATGAAGATGCACACACATACACACACACACACACACGAACCTGTGCCTCAAGGTGTTTCTGCCCATCGGGGTTTGAGGGTCCCTGGGCAGGGAATGTCTATCCTGCAGGTTTACACTAGCTCCTGCCTCTTCTCCCTGGCTGTACGTGCTGGTCTGCTCTGGAAGGACACATTTTTACAGCAGAACTCAAAGCCCAGATTTATAATGCATATGGGGACCAATAGTTTAAGCAGCGTAGTGAAGCCTGCGCCCAGGCCAAAGACCCCTTCCTGACAGTGAAGGATGGACTTCCTTCCCCGACTCAACTCACTGCTCCAGGTAGAAACCCATCAACTTATCTCTCAACATTTTATTTAAGAAGATGGTTAAGTTGGGAAAGTCAGTCTTTGTCACCTGTAGATAATACATAGAATTATCTCACATGCCAGAAATCTCTATGTACATCTCCTAATTAAAAGTACATTTAAGAGACTGGTCAAAAACAGCAAAATCAAATTATTTTAATGCTGTTAAATCTCCAGCATTAAAACTTTATTTTTTAAAACTTTATTTTATGTGTATGAGTGTTCTGCCTGTGTGTATGTAAGTGCACCCATGTTGCACAAAGCCCACGCAGGCTAAAGAGTGTGTCAGGTCCCCTGGAACTGGAGTTATAGATGGTTGTTAGCCGCCATGTGGGTGCTGGGCATCAAACCCAGGTTCTCTGCAAGAGCAGCCCGTGCTCTTAACCACTGAAGCATCTCTTCAGCACCCCCCTTTTTTAAAAAAAATATTTTTTGATTTGCACATTGTGATTTTAGAGACACCCCCCCTTTTTTAAAAAAAATATTTTTTGATTTGCACATTGTGATTTTAGAGGAACTATGCATTTTAAATATCCCTATATAGACAGGTAAAATATCAATTTTGTTGTTAGGCTATCTAGAATTGGTACTCAAGTTGGATGAAGAGGTGTGAGCTTTATACATACCCATTCAGAATCCCTCATGGGCTCACAAATAAAATTTCAGTAACAACCGAATGATATAATACGTTAATTTCAATGACTGTGAAAAATATAAAGATAACTAAGTTATCAAAAGTATGTGACTTCAATTTAGCCTGATGCTCATTTGATCCAACCACTCGATCTAAGGGAAGCTGTAGCTGGGGCCCGATTTTCCCAGAGAGACATGAGCAGGTGTCTCTTCATCCCAGAAAGGGCACTGATGACAGCAGAGGAAATGACCCACCCAAGTCATTCTTCCTAGATGAAAGAACGAGTCCCCTGGTATTACGTGGAGGAGCATGGGTGCCTGAAGGCAGCTGTGTTCCCAGAAGCCCACCTAGCATGAGTGTTGACTCACAAGCTCCACACCCCTGCAGCTCGATCAGAGCCCTCCTCTCCGCAGCTCTTGACTGTTGCTCTTATAACATTGGGAAGGGGTCTCAGGTCTTAGGAGTCCTTTTTCTGAGCCTCCTGATCTGTGGTAAGTGTCATGAACTTCCTCAGCCTTCTGAGTTTCATTTCCCTCTGACTCCTTCTAGGAATGAAGGTTTCAATTAGGAGGAAATAATTAAGAATGTAAAACCTCGGCAATAAAATTACGCTTCATTGGAACTCTTGCTGTAGTCTGAATGATCTATCTTTACCCCGGTCTGAAGAGTTTGCCACCAATGTTTGTTTTCTAAGTGTGGCTACTACTTTAATCCACTTAAATAGTGTAAACAAGTACATGTATTCTAGAATGCACACAGGTATAAATGTAGATACTATTGCACACTACTTTCATTAAGTAGTCTACCTTTTCTCAAAACCACCTGTAAAATAATCAGCCCAATCCCTCTGTACACAGCAATGCATGGCTCTTCCTGATTTGGAGCCAGACAGCTTGCCTGTTTTCATTCCCTGTCCCCTCCGGGACCAACACTAGCTGTTGGGCAAGCGCATCTAGAAGCATGAGTTGGGCAGAAGTCCAAGGACGAGCACAAATGCCTTCGTACAGCTGAAGGCTGTCCTTGGGCGAGGCCCCCTCTTAGCTCCTGGGCAAAGCTGGAGGGTGAAGGGTGAAGAGAAGTTAGGAGGGACTTGGCTGCCCCCAGTGTCCCCTTGGATGCTTCCCCTTGGATACACAGCCTGGTCCTGGCCCTGCCTCCTTTCCTGTACTTCGCCTATCATATCCAAGTTAGGATTGCTGTTTCTTTTTCTTTTTTTTTTTAATTTTTATTATTTTTATTTTATGTGTATGAGTGGATGGCCTGTATGTATGTAAGTGCACCCCTGTCATGCAATGCCCCAAGGAGGTCAGAAGAGGGCTTCAGATTCCCCTGGAACCGGAGTTACGGACAGTGGTTAGCCACAATGTGGGTGCTGGGAATTGAACCTGGGTCCTCTGCAAGAGCAGTCAGTGCTCTTAACCACTGAGCCATCTCTCCAGTCCAGGACTGCTATTTTCTTTGTTTACTTTTCCTCTTGATGGACATGAAGAAACCTAATTCCTCTACACAACAAGGATGTGGAGGCTGAAAGATTATAAAATTGCAGGGAGGAAAGTTCACACATTAAGCTCTGTGTCTAGCAGAAGATGGGGAAAGGTGTAATCCATTCCAGCTCACTCAAAGGGTGACAAGCTACTTCCCAAGTCGTCTATAATTCCCACACCCCAAATCAGTTATTGCCAGGGTAATACTTTTTACCTTACAGCTTTCTCTAGGTCATCAATACAAACGAGGGAGAATTTGAATCGATTTTGCTTCAATGAACTATCAAACATTTCTAATCTCAATGTATTTTTCTAGCCAACAAATCAAAGCCATGTCAAAAGCTAAGTTAGTTTTGTGAATGTTAATAAGTAATTCAAGTATACAAGATGTGGGAGAAAGAAAGGAAACAGGACTGAGCCCACACACCCGTCGCTTTTTAATGAATTATGCTGGTAGGGAGATCAACTGCTAATGTAACTCAGAGGGGCCCAGCTGCCTGAGGATTTTTTCATTGATTTCAAATGAATTGAAACTTTGATCCATTACAGCATTCAGGAGAATCCATTATTATACATGGTCTGTAGCTACATTTTGCAAATGTTAATTTCTCAGTTACATTAAAATCAATTTTCTTAAATAGCAAAAGGCACCAGAGTGAAAGAAAAACCACTAAGACAATTTTTTGTTCTTGGGCATTTTGCTGTATTATGAGTCTATTAATTTTCCCAACCAGCAGGAAGAGAATTAGAAAAATTCAAATATTATCACAGGATATTAGAAGTCAGCCCCTTCAGTAAAAATTTTAACTCTCCATGACATATCACCGAGCTCCTTAACGCACTGGAAATATTTATTTGCAGTAGCTCTCACCCTTAAACTCTTTGTAATTCGTCGTCGCTGACCACCTCATTTTCAGGTGAGAAGAAAGGAGATGGTTCACCTAAAATTTATTCCAGACTTTGATGTGTGACCTAATATTCCGAGGAAAATCTGATATGGATTATAAATGGGTTTCAGATCCTGCCATGTCATATCTTAGAAGTTCTTGGAAACGAACTCAATCTTGAAACAGTTTGACAATGTAAGATGAATAGGCACAGAGATGGATTGCAGAAGAGAGTGGGTCTAGCCCAGAGGAAAGCACAGCAGACACTAAGTACGATGCCATGCAAGAACAACGCTTTCTCTGGTTCTAAGCGAGGTGTTAATTAAGGTGCAGTCTGAATGCCTTCCTAATCCAGACTGCTCCTTTCCTTACAGATTGATCTGCTGACATTTTTCTAAGTACTGTGTTGTCCTGTGAATGTCTCAAAAAGCAAAACTTCCCAGACTGGAGAGATGGCTGGGAGGTCAAGAGCTCTTACTGCACTTGCAAAGGAACCAGGGTTCTGTTCCCAGCACCCACATTAGGTGGTTTACAACCGCCTATAATGCCAGTTCCTGGCGATCAGACACCCTCTTCTGGGCTCTGTGGGCACATGCAGGTTCACAGACACACACATGTACACAGAATGAAACCTAAAATATATCTTTATAAAAAGCAAAACTTGAATCTCAGCATTTCCACACAGTTTATTTTAGGATGAAGGCGATGGTTAATTTTATACTACTGCTGGCTATCTCTAGCTTGGCCAGCTTTAACTTATACCTTCAGATATTTTCTCTTTTCTCCTGAAATAAATGTATGAGAACTGCATATTTATTTTTCTTTTTCAGTTTATTCCAACACTACAGACTCTATGAGTTTCTATTCTATGCCACCAGGGAAGAAATCGTGCTGGGAACCCAGGTAAGTAATTCATCTGGGTTGAACCAGTTACACTGAATCACTTACCAGGTGCTGATCAGCATCTGCCTGAACCACTCAAAGCAGCTTCCTGTCACAATTATTTAGGTGTTAATATAACCAACTCACAGTTTGCCAAAAGAATAATTATGTCAAGTGAGCTTTGGATTAAGAAAATAAGCTGTCTCTGAGTGTGAGAAGTGCTGTTAAGCACGAAGCTTTAAGAGTTGATGAATTGTGTGACAGAGTTTCACTGAGTAGGGAGTGTGGGTCTTCATGCAAATGAGATCAGGGGAAAATGAGGTGGGTCGATCCAGGCCTATCTCTTCTAATTTTGCATTTTTCTGACTGCTAATTTTTTTAAAGCTTAACTCAAACCTCACTTTGTTGAGGTTTGCATTGAATTTCTAAGGATTTGGACAGACTCTCTAATCGCCACCTATGATTCTTTTTTTAATTTCAGTTGTTCTCTTCTTGCTAAATTTTGGCTGTTTTCCTCAAAAGCACAGCAGCATTTGGTGTCCTGTCGTTTTTCATGGTTTCCTATGGGTTGATAGAGTTCACACAACTCAACAGGAACTTTCCCTGAGGCAAGGGTCATCTGCTGCTTTTCTCTGACCTGTGACAGCCTGTAGCTTTGTAGAGAACACACAATCTTCCTGAAGTTCTGAAGTGTTTGGGTGACAGCCCACAGGAAAGAGGTTCTGCTGTCAATGATCTTTCTAGACACTCAGAAGCACGCTTGCCTAAGTCATACAGATGTAATTCCTGGGAATCAGTCCTGAGTGGGGACTGTCAGAGGAGATGACGGATGCTATGGAAAGTGCTCCCAAACATTCTCCATCTCCTTAAGAGGCTTTGCTGTCTCCAGAAGGATGCAGGGAAGGTGGGATGGCGTCAGAGATGAAGTGGAAAAGATGGGCCCCACCACCCATCTGCCTTTCCTCCTATTAAGCACCAGATGAAGCGTGACAGTGATTTTGTCCTGGGTGTTCTGAACTCAGAAACTCATAAATGGCTTATTTTGAAACTCATAAATGACCCACTACCAGCCTGCACTTAAGTGCTTACTCAAAGGCAGCCCCTTCACAAGGGGCTGAAGGCAAACCTGGTCATCCTGCTCGTGACTTCATTTAGCATTGCGTATGTCACTTCATACCGTAGTTTAAATTTGGTGTCACTTGAGAGAGGCTTTCTGGAAACATTTCCAATTCATAATTACATCTCATGTAATTCTCTGTGGCCCCGATGAAAGAGTGATCCACGTGGAACGGAACCTATTTCATCTCTGTAGGGCGGTGTCCAGAATGATAGCGCTGCAGCAGGAGCAGAGGGTGTTTAGAGTCAGTGAGAAAACGTTTCAGAACTCCTCTTCCCTTTGTTCTTCTAGATTTGGGAGCAGAGGGTGTTTAGAGTCAGTGAGAAAACGTTTCAGAACTCCTCTTCCCTTTGTTCTTCTAGATTTGGGAGATGTGTGTGCATGGAAAGGTCCGACGGAGGGGCAGATAGCGACTGGCCTCTTGATGAGCCATTGTCTTTGTGTTGCCTCCAAGCTGAACAGTGATAAAAAAACCCTTAAAGGAAGGATAGTGAACCTTCAAGAGCTACACTGCTCCTAGCACCGGACAGGATTAACAAGAGCAGGACCACCTTGCCGTATTATATGGCGTCTTGTCTTAGAAGTGTCTGATGACTTTTGGTGCAAATATCTGGTTTTTAATTATCAGTTTCTCACAGAGGAGGCAGGGACTGGCCCCGCTGCTGTGTGATTATCACATTGGCCTCAGAGCTCTAGACTCTGGGAGCCCAGTGACAACCACAGCCGAGCTTCAGATTGAACTCTGCAACAAGCTAGACCACACCCATGATGGCAAGTTTCCAAATTACAGGCAGAGGCCTGGACCAAAGCATAAATGCCTTCCATTCACTTCTCAGTTCATAAACGAAAGTAGATATCGGCCATGGTGGTCAGTGACTGGCCAAACACAGAGACCAAACATCACTGCCTTTCTAATAAAGTTACAGAAAACTGTCTATGAATTGTTCCTGCCAGACCTTTGACCTGCTCAGGCTTCCGGTGGCTCCTCTGCTGCTGTCATTTCCTGGGAATATGGGAAAATAGAAATGAGCATCCAGGGTGCCCTAGGGACGTGACGCACAAACCAGGGCCCGTGAGAGGGAATCGGCTACGAGATGTGGAATCATAGCAGATTAAACTGTAAGGAAGTAAAAACATGTGAAGCATGAATCTGTAGAATACAAGGCACTTGATTCCAGCTGCCCAGCAGGCACCTGGACATATACTGCCATGTGGCTGTGGATTCAGTGTGTCCAAGATCCCTGGGCTGGAGGCTTGACCCTCAGAGCAACATTGTGGAGCTCTGTTATCTTAGTGGAGTACCATGGGGCTATGTTTCAGAAGAGCTTGTCCCTGGCACACTCTTCTCTTGAGACTCTGTCTGCCATCCCCATGAGGACCTCACCGAGCCAAAGGCAGCAACTTATTAAATCTCTAAAACTATGAGACAAACTACCTTCTTCATAAGGTTAGCCTGTCTTAAGTGTTTTGTTATAGGGATGAAAAACAGACCAATACACTCTACTACAAACAACCAAAACACAAACACAGCATAGTTAAAATATGACTGAATATGTGAACATTGGCTACATATTTGGCAACACAGCATACTAATTCTTTGAATTTGTAAAAAATGTTATCTTAATAACTAAAGGTACTTTGCAGATTGATTAAGTGGAGGAATTTGAGAGGGGATAATTATAATGGATTGTCCAGAAGAGCTCATTGTAATCATTAGCTTCTTGTAAAGAGAATGGGGAGATCCAGAGAGTAAGAGGAGATTCAGATAGCCAGCAAGTGGTCTTGAAGATGAAGAGGCCAGAGCTGTGTCAAGTGTTTTGGCATCTGTTATAGCAAGGCCCATGGCTGTCCTGCTTTTCAACATTAGGTTGACTGTTACTGTTCATTCTTCTTGATTATGAAATTCAGAATTAAACCAGTGTCTGTGGAGATTTTTGGTACATGGCATATATGGGTTGTTAGCAAAGAAGAATTTAATACCAATTTGGATAATTGGCAATATATTTGGTTAAAACAAAAACACTAGAATTCTTCTCTACAACCAATTGAAAAATTAGTTCAATTTAATAAAAGGCCCATCGCCCCAATGCAGACATATCCCATAAAGCGGACTGTAATTTGCCTTGTCAAAAACTTTCACTGAGAACAACTAAAAAAGTAGGACAAACTTTTTAAAAATCTTAAATATTTGAGCGTTCAGCTAACACAGCTCAAAAATCATGAATCTTGGGCTACAGAGATGCCTAAGGAGTTAAGACTGCATACTGCATAAGTCCCTAATTTTATTTCCAGCACCCATAACTACCTATAACTCCAACTCCAGGGGATCCAGTGCCCTCTTCTGGCCTCTACCAGCACTTGCGCTCACATGCACTTACCCACACACAGACACATAGACACACATAATAAAAAATAATAAAATATATCTTTAAAAAACATGAATCTAAGGCGTAAACTTTTTAAAATATCTTACTTTTATTTCATGTGTATGAGTGTTATCCCTGCATGTATGTAAGGGCACCTATGTCACACAATGCCCACAGAGGTCAGAAGAGGGCATCGGATCCCCTGGAACTGAAGTTACAGATGGTTGTTAACCACCATGTGGGTGCTGGGTGTGAAACCTGGGTCCTCTGCAGGAGCAACCAATCCTCTTAACCTCTGAGCCACCTCTCCAGCCCAGTAAGGAGCAAACTTAGCATTTGGCCATGCTTTCCACCTAAAGGTATCTTTCGGTTTTTAAAAGGTGGCCAAAGGGTTTAGAAGGTAAGTGGTAGAGCTTTGGTGAGCATGTGCAGCTGGGGAGGGGAGGGGATTGCAGTTATTCCCACAAGCTGTGTCAACGCCAAAGGGGCACATTTTAGGAAATCAGCTGTTGTACGGACTAAATTCCCAGTTTCAGATTCTCTCAGCTTCTGGGGTATTTAAATCAACCATATGTAATGCTAACCTCCTCTAAACCAAAACAAAATTGTACTACACTCTAGAATATCTCAGCAGTCTTTCTATATATCTGACAAACATTAAAAATCATAACACACAGAAATACAAACAAACCATGAGAATTCTTTGTGATGGTGTAATCCCATTCAAATTAACTATCCTCAAGAAAGAAGTAATGTTCTTGAAAATAAGTAAGATATTGAAATCACTAAAAGTTATTAAAGATTATTAAGTACAACTTCTGGAACTGAAGAAATAATTAAATTGACAACCAAATGGTGTGTTTAACAACAAATTAGTCATAGCCAAAGAGAAATTGGTGAACTTGGAAATAATGGGCTGGAGAGATGGGTCAGAGGTTAAGAGCACTGGCTGCTCTTGCAGAGGACCCGGGTTCAATTCCCAGCACCCACATGGCAGCTGACAACCATCTGTAACTCCAGTTCCAGGGACTCTGATGCCCTCTTCTCACCTCCTCTGGCATTAGATAAAAGTATAAAAATGCTAAGAGAATCTGGGTATATTAAAAACTGTGACAAAGAGACAGTGGAAATCCATTCCCGAAAGACAAGGTAGGAGCAATTTTTGAAGGAGAGATTTTTCCAGAAATATACCGCATTAGTTCAGAGATTAAAAACTGATGGTGAGGGACTGGAGTGCTGGCTCTGCAGTTAAAAATACATACTGCTCTTGCAGAGGACTTGCTCAGTACCCAGCACCCACATTGGGTAGCTCACAACCACCTGTAACTCCAGTTCCAGGGGCATCTGACAGCTCTGGCTTCTGTGGGCATGTACATACATATACACAGAAGTACGCACATACATGTAATATCAAAAATAATAAAAATTAATCGTTTAAAAATTGACTGTGGATCTTCAAGTAAATCTGTACCTAAGTATGTCATAAAAATTTACATTTTAAAGGGGGGAGGGTCTTTAAACAAGCCATAGAAGAAAAG